AGGCAGGAGAGTTGCTTGAACCAGGGAGGTAGAGGTTGCAGTGAGCCAAGATTGTGCCACTGTACTCCAGCCTGGGCCACAAGAGCGAAAGTCAGTTTCAAAAAAAAAAAAAAACCACCAAAAAGAATTTAGTATGGCATCAACTGGAAAGGTCAAATTTTCCCCCACACAGTCAGAACATGTTGAATATGCTGCAAAGGAGACTGTGGCCTGAAACTGGGAACATCTGAATGAGTGATTCTAGGATTAGACAGGGTCCAGGATATGACGAGGGGGCAGTGTCTGTGGCTGTGGCTGTGGCTATGGCTATGGCGATGGTGGGGCAGGGGTACATGTGCCTGAGGGTGAGAATGGAACGTACTGAGAGCTGGGTACTGGTTGAGCCATCCTCCGGATAGCAATGCATGTTCTGAGTTATGCTTGCACAGAGGAATCTCTTGTGTTTCTTCTACCTCAGGACAGAGTAGTTTCCCAGTGCATTTTTTCCGGGTACCTGCTCCCTGTGTCTTAGTCACTGAGCCAAAAATACTGTCTCTTCTTCTGCTGAAATTTTAGGTGACCAACAAGGGAGTATAAGGTTGGTGAGGCCAAGAAAATTTGTCTTTATTTTTTTATTAAAAAATTTTTTTGCTATTTAAAAAATCTTTTAATGTATTTTCTTATTCTAATTGTTTACAGAAGAAAGCTCTGCAACAAGAAAATCTGTTTTTAGAAAGTGAGAATGCCAGCCATTCGTGGTGGCTGTAATCTCAGGACTTTGGGAAGCTGAGGTGGGATCACCTGAAGTCAAGAGTTCGAGACCAGCCTGGCCAATGTGGTGAAACCCCGCCTCTAACTAAAAGTACAAAAATTAGCCAGGCATGGTGATGGGCACTTGTAATCCCAACTACATGGGAGACTGAGGCAGGAGAATTGCTTAAACCCGGGAGGCAGAGGTTGCAGTGAGCTGAGATGGCACCACTACACTTCAGTCTGGGCAACAAGAGCGAAACTGTCTCAAAAAAAAAAAAAGAAAGAAAGAAAGAAAATGAGAATGCCTTCCTCTCTCTTCACTTCCCTTGCAATGTCTACTGCTTCCTTAAAACTGCCTTATGTCCATTTGAGTAATCTATATATCAGCAGACAAATACATCTCTCTGGCTTTTTTATAATCATACTTGTGTTAAAATATCAGATTTGTGTCACTCCCCTGACATGATAACACTTCCTTGCCTGGATACCTCCAGATCCACTCCCATTTGCTGGGGTTTCAACCAACACCATTTTACAAGCAGGGAGGATAAAAATGAACAGTCACTTCCTGTACTTCTCCCTCTCCCCTCGAACTGAAAGGGGCTTGCATTTGGATTGCACAAGTACGCTACTATTCCCATTCATAAAATATGGGGTCTTCTGAATTAGAAGAATTATGATACAACTTCAGATTTCTAAAAAATGACACTAAAAAAAAAGCATGTCCTATAGTCTAAAAATGCTCCTTCTCCACTGATCGCTCCAGCAGTTACAAGCTTACATTTGGCAAACTTAAAAGATGTTAAACCCACTTCATTTCTTTTTTTTAACCTATAATTTTTTCTATAATATTTTGTTTTATTTTCCTTTTTCCTCCTCCCTCCCTTCTTTCTTCATCAGAATTTGAGCTGAGGTTTCAAATGCTTCACTTTCGTGCTGGGTCTGCAATAACGTGATGTTTTCTGTTTTCATCCATTTACTTTCAGCCACGCAGGCACTGCCAAGGATGTGCCCTTTCTGCACACCCTGGCAGCTCTTCCCTGCCTGGTGTTTTTCCTGGCAGGCTCTGCTGGAATGCTTTCTTTAGTAAAGGAGGCAAATGGAACCAGGATGCAGAGACCATAGACGCTGTTTCTCCTTCTGCCCATCTCTTTCTCCTTCTCACCCTCCATTCAAATATTACTTGAGCACCTGCTGGTGCCAGGCCCAGGAGAGACATGAAATGAGGCACTAGGCATGCAACAATACAAAAACTGTCCTTGCTCTCAAGGTACTGCCCTCTGTGACCTCAGGCAAACTAAACTCTTCTCAATTCACATTATAACATATGAGGAAACTAAATCAGACGATTTCTTTAAAAGTTTCTGTTTAATAGCTATAATTTTTATTTTAACGAATAATCTCCTGCTATTTACTCTACCCTGAACAATTTCTCCTTACATTTAACATGCTTCTAGTCCTTTCTCTTCTATCAGTTGGTATGTGTTTCAAGAATACGAAGGTATTTAAATATCAAAGCAAATACTTTTTTTGTAATTATGATGTGAAGTACTATAAATTCATTAAGAATGATGCTCACAAAAGCTGTTCATGACATGGAAAAAGATACACACTGTAATGCCAAATGAAAAAAACAGAGTCAGGGAAGAGAGGTGGAACACTAGGTATTATTTGTTAATGCCAACATTTTAATAGTGGTTACCCTTGAATGGTAGGATTATAAATGTTTAAATGTTTCTACTTTAATTTTTCAAAATAAGGCAAACTATAATCATTTTTATAACAAAGTAAGTTATGTTTAAAAATACAGAAGTGATTGTTTTTGCAGCAAAAATTTCAATGTGTAAGCCAAAGCCAGAAGTGAATAATTTTAAAAATATGCTTTGCTTTGAGTCTGACAAACCTGTCTATTACATTGATTTTTTTTCTGGCTTCTAAGCTTATATAATTGGTCACATTCTGGTACCTTTTTAAGAGATGACAATCTTAAAATATTCACTTTAGAATAATCTGAGGGCACTGAGAAGAGAAAGGAAAGGACTTGTACAATTTCTTCATCTGTTAAAAATGCAAGGCTTTATTTAGGAGCTGCATTTATTAGGAAAGGTGAAAGTGTGGGTCACTGGGAGGTTATTTCAGGAAAAGGCTCTGCAGATGATTTCATCACTTCAAACAGGTGCCAAGATATGTTTGCTCAAGCACAATTTGGGATATCAGATCACAAACTCAGGGAGGCCACAAATGCCAACTGGTACAAGTAAAATACCTAAAAGACAAGACACTTCCTCCATGTTATGAAAGGTAAAAAAAAATTCCATACGAAATAACAAAAAATCTGGCTACCACTTGGTATGACCGACACCCATCCACTCCCCATATTGGAGAAGGGGCAGGAAAAAGAAATGTAGAAACAGCCAGTAGCTGAGAGAGAGAGCTACTTTGGTTTCTGGGAAAGCTGGGAGAGAAGGTATTTGACCTTTTCCAGCTCATCACCTACAGGTCAGTATTTCCAACAAGTCATTTTGTAGCTTGTCATTCTGAAACCGAGAAGCTAAATAGAAGACTGCACTGTCAACCACACACTTGAACCTCCAGAAGATGTGGACAAAAGTTCACGTCAGTCACAGGGGTTAAAGAGATAGAAACAGGGAAAAATGTACTTTCCGTCAGCTCATTTGGCCTTGGGAACTAATGCAAAATTTCTCTTTTTAATTTTTAATTTTAAATTTTTGTAAGTACATAGTAAGAGTATGTATTTATGGAGTATATGAGAAAGTTTGATACAGGCATAGAATATGTAATAATCACATCAGGGTAAATGGGGTATCCATCCCCTCAAGCATTTATTTATCCTTTGTGTAATAAACAATCCAATTATAATACTCTTTTAGTTATTTTAAAATGTACAATCAAGCAAGATTTCTTATTGAGCCATGCTACTCAAAGTGTGGTCATCTGACACTCGCATCCCTAGAAGCTTATTAGAAATGCTGAATCCAGGCTGGGTGACGTGGCTCATGCCTATAATCCCAGGACTTTTGGAGGCTGAGGCTGGTGGATCACTTGAGGTCACAGTTTGAGACCATCCTGGCCAATATAGTGAAACCCTGTCTCTACTAAAAATACAAAAATTGCTGGGCATGGTGGCACACACCTGTAATCCCAGCTATTTGAGAGAGGCTGAGGCAAGAGAATTGCTTGAATCAGGGAGGTGGAGGTTGCAGTGAGCCAGGATTGCGCCACTGTACTCCAACTTGGGTGACAGAGAGAGAGAGACTCCAACAACAACAACAACAACAAAAAGATGGGCACAGTGGCTTATGCCTGTAATCCCAGCACTTCGGGAGGCTGAGGGCCATCCTTGCCTTGAGAAAATTTCTCTTCCTCAATAACTGACCAGATTCTAGTGCCACAGATTACATCATGGACTTAACAGTATCTGGCAAACATGCACATCAATTTACCCTTGACCTTGAGGGAAAAAGGAGTACTTTGAGGGAAAACTTCAGACAAACTCAAAATAACAAAGTGCTTTTTTTTGAGACAGAGTCTTGCTCTGTTGCCAGGCACCAGGCTGTAGTACAGTGGTGCGATCTCGGCTCACTGCAACCTCTGCCACCCAAGTTCAAGCAATTCTACTGCCTCAGCCTCCCCAGTAGCTGAGAATACAGGTGCATGCCATCATCTAATTTTTATATTTTTTAGTAGAGATGGGGTTTCACCATGTTGACCAGGATGGTCTTGATCTCTTGATCTAGTGATCCGCCCACCTTGGCCTCCCAAAGTGCTGGGATTACAGGCATGAACTACCTCGCCCGGCTAACAAAGTGCTTTTATGATTATGATTATTATTATTTTTTGAGATGGAGTCTCACTCTGTCACCCAGGCTGGAGTACAATGGCATGATCTCAGTTCACTGCAACCTCCGCCTCCAGGGTTCAAGCAATTCTCCTGCCTCAGCCTCCCAGGTAGCTGAAATTAGGCATCTACTACCATGCCTGGCTAATTTTTGTATTTTTAGTAGAGACGAGGTTTCATCATGTTGGCCAGGCTAGTGTCAAGCTCCTGACCTCGAGAGATCCTCCTGTCTCGGCCTCCCAATGTGCTAGGACTACAGGCATGAGTCACCGAGTCCTACCGCTTTTATGATTTTATTGCTGAAGAAGGTTTTAAGCATCCTATAAATGTTTGGATTAAGCAAACAATAGAGGCAGAGGGGATCTGAAGCTGGATCTGGGTGGGCTCCTCTTTGAAAGTTCACTCTTACCTGATTGTCGAATCCGTTGAAGAGTTTGCTGCACCAACACCTCCGACCTGGGGACAATGATGATGAAGTCTACTTTGCTGAAGTGACCGAGGTCCAGGCTCTGGCTGCCACTGTCTGCTATAGCACACACCTGGGATAAGAGTTTTCTGGCAACTGTTAGCTGCGGTTGATAAATTTGGAAGTTTTCGCTATCTAAATCTAAAATTTAAAAAGAAGTCATAAGAACAAGGTTAATTTACTTCCATAATGGCCACTGTGAATCTCTATGAGGACACATACCACACACATGGTAATGTAACGCTACCTCACTAAGAATTCTCACCTGCTACTTGCACTCTCTATTGAGTTTTAATAGATTTGCCTATTTTCCCTGAAACGTGGATGAAAGGATGTGCTCAGGAGTGGATGTGGCAGTTTTGCAAATGTATTATTTTAACATTGCTTGGTTATCTCACAAATGCCTAATTCAACACCCCCTATCCCAACCAGAAGTGGAGGAGACAGACTACACTCTCGGAGCTGGTGCTGGGACTCAGCTATGGAAAAGGAAGTGTTTCCAGTTTTCTTTAGGAATATCAGCACAGGCCAGTGCCCTAGCTCCGACCCTAGCTGTAATGATCATGATGCTGAGTTCCTTTGAGCTTTTCTGGATAGCACTGCAGTAAACATTTCCTCTTCAGCAAGTCGGCTGCAATATGGTTGGAAATTCCCTTCCCAGCAACTACATAACATGGGTCATGGAAACACGACTTTCACCTTTCTTCCCACTCAATTCCACTTTGCCAGTGCTGTGACCTGGCAGGTCTAGGTGGTTGTGGCCAGCTCCAGGCTGATGGCTGGACTATCTAAGACACCTGACTCATGACATAGCCAGCTGGCCACTCAGCAGGTGACGTATTACAAAAACATTGCCCAGATACTCTAGCAGGTCAGTAACTTTTTATTGCAAGTATATCAAGCAATCAATCTTTCTTATATGTGCAATAGCATCCACACACACTATGAAACAAGTTTAGTCAGCTAAATAGGTGAGCAGGCAACATCCAATGCTTCTATAAAGCACCGCTTTTTATCAGGAACCCATGTGGCAATTTAACTGCAACAGGGCTTAATTAACCCATGCTAATTAATGTTTTCTAAAATCAAATGCAGCTGAGGCAAAGACAGTCGTCAACATATCCCAGTTATCATGGACACTGACAGCAAGTGGAGATTTATACGTACAGTCTCCCTAGTGGTTAAGAGAACCCACTGGAAAAGCCCAAAGCTGGAACTTGTAGTAGAAGCCCAAATAGTCTTTGTACCACAGACTACTAATCAAAATACATCTGTCTTTTCATATAGGCTGTTATTTCCTTCATTTCACAGATTGGATGGGTGGGGACTAAATATACATATAACTTTGTAGAATTTTACTTAGCAAGTTTTGAAGCTTGAGAAAATATAAATATGTCTTTAAAAAATGTTTTTTAAACAGGGAACCAAGAATGTACTTGGGATGAGAATGTTTAAATTCTAAATGTGTTAACAATTCAAAACAGTTAATATAAACACATTTCAGATCATCTGGATGATCACTTTATTAGCAAATACCATTGAGAAGTCAAAACATTGTCTGTATTTGCATTTGTTTTTACAACAAAGCTGACTGCCAAGCCATGCGCTTTTATTGCCTGAGACAAACCTAATATATAAATGATGCATTCCTATCAAGTGGGGGCCAAGGGGCTGTCAGCAGCAGCTTACATGGGTCTGTTTCCCATCTATCCTTTCTCCTGTTCTTTTTTCTGTCCTGTCCTATGCCATTCCTGTCAATCAGTGAACTGGGGAAGGATTAAAACCCAAATGAATTTAGTCTAACAACCAGACTCCTTATCCCTGACAGTTCCCCTTTGAGCCCGTGAAGCTTGTTGTAGGGCAGATGACATGCTGGTAGCACTGCTCTGTCTCCCAGGAAAGCCTCACTATCCCTGAGAAAGAGTGTGTTTTACAGGTCAGAGAGTAAGTGAAGGAGCAGGAGCTGGGGGCCCTGTACTGCCTGTAGTCTGACTCTTTCAGGCAGTTTTTTGAAATCCTCTGGGCGCAGATGGTGGAGCTAAGGAAGATGCACCAATGTCCTGGAATCTTTCAGAGAAAAAAGAGAGAGTGCTTAAGATAAAGTCTTTGATTTTCATTCCAGAAGACTTTTACTAGGAACAAGGCCTTTGATCCAGGCCACATGGGAAAGCATTTTTAATTTGAACCAGGTTTATCATGTAGACAATCAGGAAAAGGCTGTTGTGGTCTGTGAATTGAAGAATCCTCAAAACCCTCAGAATGACTTGGTTTTTATAATGTCTGTCCTAAGGACTAACTTCCTCCTCTTGGTCTGAGATGACATTACCCAGGTTTTGTGTGGGCATCATAGCAGCAGCCTCCTGAGGTGACACGCATTCATTAAGGTCTCCATTGAAAGGGATAACCACACTGTCTCCTCTTCTTTGTTGCATTTTTTCCAACAGCTTGTCTAGGTCATCTCCTGTTACAAAATAAAGTAGCAATAAGAAGGTTTCAAGGAAGGATATGTTTGTTTTGTTTTTATCTGTCTCCGAGTTGGGGAGTTAGGCTGTTCTCAGTAGATTTGTTGGTCAGCCAGCAATTCATATCAGCCTTTACACTTAGCCACTTTTGTAATATAGCGGTGTCTCTATAACAAGAACTACTCTCATTGATATAGTGCTTACAATTTACATGCTTTCACATGTTGTATCTCTCTTGACCTTTCTAATACTCAAAAGCAGGCAGAATGGAATTAGAAAACTGAGTTCCAGGCTGGGTGCAGCGGCTCACCCCTGTAATCCCAGTACTTTGCAAGGCCAAGGCACAGGAGGATCGCCTGAGGCCAGGAGCTGGAGTCCAGTTTGGGCAACAAAGGGAGACCCTGTCTGTGCAAAAAATTTTAAAATTAGCCAGGGATGGTGGCACATGTCTGTAGTCCCAGCGACTTGGGAGGCTGAGGTGGGAGGATCACTTAAGCCAGTAGAGGGGGCCGGTGTCAAGCAGTAAGCTATGATCATGCCACACTGTGCTCCAGTCTGGGTGACAGAGCAAGACCCTGTCAAAAAAAAAAAAAAAAAAAAAAAGGAAGGAAGGAAAGAAAAGAAAGGGAAGGAAGGAACAAACGAACAAACCGAGTTCCAGGGAGAGAGAAACTTGCCCAAAGTCACTCAATAAGGTCATGGCTAAGCTGAGACTTTTGAATCCAGTACCAATGTGTCTTCCTCTAGACCCCCTTACTGCTTCTGTGGTGTTAGTGACAAAATACTTAGGATAAACCATTTCAAATGAAAGATCAGCTGGCAAGCTTGGGCTCCACACTCATCTCCTTGACAGGTTAAGATTTAAATTCAGAAAATCACACAACCAGGGGCTGGCATTGTTGCCAAATCTCACAACCACTCACCTAATGATGTGGTTTTGAAATGTGATGCCAGGAAACTGACCTTTCCTGTGATAAGCTCATAACTAATTTCTTTCAAAAACTCACTTGTAGTGAGCATGCTCTCTGCCAGAGCTCGAGACTGGTGCGGACCTGCAGAATGGAGAGAAGAGATGACTCATCAACAGAACAAAGGTTGCTGGAACATTACTTACGGCAACAATTGGGAACAATCAAAGGATGTCACTCTGGGGACTTGGGTTAAGAAAATATGACACATCAAAAGGTGTGGACAATTATACAGCATTCGAAGTATCAAGTCTGACCCTAGACAGAAACAGCAATGTTTATAATACAAGAAAATCAAGGAAAAAAAATGATGTACCTTATGTTTGTACCTGAAAATATACACATGCTTGTGTTTAATGACTAAGGAAGGTCCCTGTCCCGCCCAGGGGCTGTGGGCAACACCATGGCTGCCCCAGGGCTTGCCAATTGCATAGATGCCCAGGGGTGGAGAACATAGGGGAAAAAAAGACTAGGGAAGAGTATGAAAATCTTATAAAGATTGTGCTTGCATAGTTATAATGAATATTTGCCTTAAAAATATAAACATGTTTTTTACAAATAAAAATGAAAAAATATTAATGTATCACACTGATGAAGCTTTCTGGAAATACATGTAGCACAGAAAGATGGGCAGACGGGTTTTGCCAAAGTGAGGGGGCTTTCTTAGCTTCTTTGCTCAGAAAAGGTGGGAGCCATTCAGTACAGAGAGAAGAGAAGTAAAATGTAATTCAAATGGCTACCCAGGAGGGTGCCTGATAGAAAATCTGTACAGCAGGGGGGAAAAAATCCCCTCCCACCCCTCAATTTTGTAGTGTACCAACTTTCTGAATCTTTTATTTAGGATCAATGTTACAATATTAAATAGACTCTTCAGTGAGAAGCAGAATATATGAGCTACTCTTCTGGCAAATTTGATTAACTGGCTTAGGCCACCTGTGGCACTAGCTTTATCACATGCTGGAGTGGTAACATTTCCAAAACCTTTAAAGGACAGCAGTTATATAAGACAGGGGTATCTGTTACTAGGGAGAGCTTTGAAATAATGCTCCCACAACCAGCTGACAGGGGCGCCAGCCAAACTGAGGGCTACAAAAACCTCATCTGAGCAGGAAAGGAAAGGTTAAAATTAGGAGGATGAGCCCAAACTGGAGCAATTATTCAGAGGTTGATTATGTGGATGCCTGAAACACACAATACACATTTTCAAATGGACAAATGTTTGAATGAATTGATTAAACAAAAAACAACAACAAAAAAATTACTCACCTAACACTACCACACAAAATTCATTTCCTCTGATTTTCGATGCACAAATTGCCACCACATAATCTGGAAGCCTTTGATAGTGTCTCACTTCACTGAGAGTCCTGAGAGTCTCTGAAATACCCTCCGCCAAAGAGTTCTGGGTCACAATCACATGAACCAAGTCTTGAGATACGCTGGCAATTAATCTAGCAAGCCAGGGGAGTTGTCCTGGTGACACAGGGACACACTGAGCACCTAACTGCAGGGCTCTTTCTCTCAGAGTAAATTCTTGCATAGCTTTCAGCATAATTTGCTCAAATTCTTCCCTGAGAGGTATCTGATCAGGACCTATATTGAAGAGAATTACAACTGCAATTTAAAGAATCACAGGTAGGAGAGAGACACACACCCACACGCCATCCTGCAGTCCTCAGCCCTTCATACATACTCCAACTAGAAAATAACCTCTTGTTCTTGGAGTGGTCACAAGTACAGAGTCATTACTAATCATTTCCTGCTGTGAAATTATTTTTCTTTCTGCCTCAATTTTTTAAAAAACATCAAGCTTCTGTTCTTCTTTATTGCATTCCTGATGTCTTTAAAAGAGAATGTACTAAGAGAAACCATTAATTCCACTGTATGCCCTGAGAGCTGGTCCTTGCACATGGCGTATTTCTTGACCTATTAAGCTTAGCATTATGGAAATTGTTGAGGCCTAATAAAAAAAGAAGCCAACCTACTGGTGTATAACCAATTTTAAGTTTGGTTACACAATTTTAAGTTTTATTCATAGGCATTTTGAAAAACATTTTAATGTATTGCCTCTATGCTTAATTTTGAGAATACTGTGCATCAGAAAATGAAGTTTAATTATTTTTCACTTTCAAGTTATATTTGAGGCAGCCTCACACTTTTGCCAGATAGAGAATGCTTTCATGACCTAGTTTCTCCCCAGCATTCTGGATTGTTAAATATGCCATTTGGCACTCTTCTGCTGCCAGTTAGGGCTAAGCTTATAGTGCTGAACTGTGGCTCCTGGAAGCAGGGGGATTTTGTTTCTTATTCTCTTTAGAAACTCAACCAATCTTTAGAACAAAATAAGCAAGTCAATGTTTGGTATCCAAGTGACACAAATGAACTAAAATTTCAACATTTAGTTTAAATCGAAAGCAGTGAGAGTATAGTTACTCCCTCTATTCAATCATTTATTTTGCTTTGTGAACCCAAGATTTGAAACTCAGGCTCCCCATAAACCAGCTCAGACTCCTCAGTGCCTGTGATTTGAGACCAAGCAACAGCCCCAGAACCCAGGGCTAAAAGTTCCTTGAGGAAGAACAAAGGGGTGATCAGCTGGACTTCTGCATGAGAAGGAGGCCCCGTAAGTGAGTCAGAACCATTCCTTCCCCTAATACGGATCTAAGTGGCCTCTCTGGCCCTTCCCATCTTTTCTGGGAAAGTAAGAAAATGAGGTGTTTAGTAATGCTTTTTAGACACAGAAAATTAAATAAAATCTTATACATTATAAAAACAAACAATTTTAGGCCGGGCATGGTGGTTTATGCCTGTAATCCCATCACTTTGGGAGGCCAAGGTGGGCAGATCACACGGTGAGGAGCTCGACACCAGGCTGACCAACATGGTTAAACCTTGTCTCTAATAAAAATACAAAAATTAGCCAGGCATGGTGGTGCATGCCTGTAATCCCAGCTACTCAGGCGGCTGAGGCAAGAGAATTGCTTGAACCCGGAAGCAGCGGTTGCAGTGAGCCAAGATGGCACCACTGCACTCCAGCCTGGGTGACAGAGTGAGACTCCATCTCAGAGAAAAAAAAAAGGCTGAGCACGGTGCCTCACACCTATAATCCCAGCACTTTGGGAGGCAAAGCAGGCAGATCACAAAGTCAGGAGATCAAGACCATCCTGGCTAACACGGTGAAATCCTGACTCTGTTAAAAATATGAAAAATTAGCCAGGGGCGGTGGTACACACCTATAGTCCCAGCTACTCAGGAGGCTGAGGCAGGAGAATTGCTTGAACCTGGGAGGCGGAGGTTGCAGTGAGCCGAGATCGCACCACTGCACTTCAGCCTGGGCAACAGAGTAGACTCGTCAAAAAAAAAAAATAAATAACTGGAGAAAATAGTTTTTCCATGATTGGTTGGAGGCCAGGGAGAGGTAGGAGAGCGGAATTCTCATAAACAGATTTTTTTCCTTTATACATGGAAACAGAACAAGAAAATGGTAATGTATACATTGTATTATGTCTGTGATTCTTCTATGCCGCTTCTTTTTTGAGACAGTTTCCCTGTCACCCTAGGGCTGGAGTGCAGTGGCACAATCTTGGCTCACTGCAACCTCCACCACCTGGGCTCTAGCAATTCTCCTGCCTCAGCCTTTGGAGTATCTGGGATTAAAACTATATGCCAACATGCCCAGCTAATTTTTGTATTTTTGGTACAGATAGGGTTTCACCATATTGGCCAGGATGCTCTCAAACTCCTGACCTGTAGTATCCACCCTACTCAGCCTCCCAAAGTGTTGGGATTACAGGTGTGAGCCACTGACCCTGGCCTCTTCTGTCCTTCTCAATCACTTCCTGAGAATGTGGAGGGATGTTTCTTAAACAAAATCACCTAGGAACCTCCAAGTTGCCTGATCTTCATTCAGCTTTATTAAATTGGCATCATGGTTAATTGTCACTAGGTGAGCTCAAAGTGGGTAGAAGCTGGTCATCTATTTAAAGCTTTCCTCCACCAGAACATGACAGCTGAAAGGCAGATGGCCCTGGCCGTCTCCAATTCCCTACTGTCTTTTATTAACCACCTGAAAGTTCAGGGACCTGGTTAATAGTCCATAAGACTCACTTCAGGACTGAGTAACATTTTCTACCAGGAAGCATAATTCAAAATACAAAGGCATTCTGGGAAAATAAATTTACCAAACATGTTCACAACATCCCTTGTTGCCTTAAAACTCACTTTTATAGAGTTTTGACTGAGGTACCATTAGGAATGAAGAAGTGGGGGAAAGATATTAAAGTTTAATGAGATAAGGGACTTCTTAAGAGTAAAATGTCTTGCTTCCAAAAATCAACTATCACTTTTCCATCCTCAGCCTTTTTTATTTTTACTTTAATTAGAGACAAGGTCTCACTCTGTCTGCTAGGCTGGAGTGCAGTGGCACAAGCATAGCTCATTGCAGCTTTGAACTCCTAGGTTGAAGTGATCCTCCTGCTTCAGCCTCCCAAATTGCTGGGATTACAAGTGTAAGCCACCACACCCTGTGCCTCATCCTCACCCTTTACAATTTCATTGCAGGCATCTTTTCTCCACTTTTGCAAGCTCGATAACACTAATCTTTTCCTTCAAGTGCTGATCTCCAATAACTCAGGTTAGTCGAGGTATCAGTTTTAATGGTTTTTCAGGCAGAACTACCTTAATAGGAAAAGTCAAGGTTTAAACAGACTCAGAGCCCTCCAAGAATCTCTGGATTTGCTGATTTCATTATCTACTTCAAAAGATTTTCAGATTGTGAAATAACTGAGATTTTTTTAAAGTGACTGTAGTGAAGATGATATGTTCCTTCTGAAGAATCTTGCTTTTCTTCTTTTCTGTTACCTCTAAGCAACTGATCCGCTAAAGTATTGAAACTGTCCTTTTAGAAGTTTACATTTTTAAAATATGTCTATAATCTATGGCATGCATAGGTGAAACTATTCTTGTTTGCCTTCTTGAAACCTCCAGAGCAAAAAAAAAATTTTTTTTAAGGACTCCAGACAATTGTTGAGGGACAGAGACGTCTCAATTTACAAAGCTTAAATTTTAAAAGAGCAATGTTATTCATGTATATTGAGAGGCCTAATTGACTGACTGGAAGTCAAATTCTGGAGAGAATTGATCCTGCAGGGCAGAGAAGAATGTGTGTAATTAAACTAAATTTTTTTCTTTTTCTTTTCTTTTTTTTTTTTTTAACAAAAGATAAGACCATTTAGTAACATAAGGAGAGATATCTTATTTTGACCACTTGGTTCATTTCAGTAAATTGGACTCTGATTTTGAAAATTGCTATTAAGATTGAAAAAGAGGCTGGGTGTAGTGGCTCACACTTTTAATCCTAGCACTTTGGAAGGCCAAGGTGGGTGGATCACCTGAGGTCAGGAGTTTTGAGACCAACCTGGCCAACATGGTAAAAACCCGTCTCTACTAAAAAATACGAAAATTAGGCCAGGCGCGGTGGCTCACGCTTGTAATCCCAGCACTTTGAGAGGCCGAGGCAGGTGGATCATGAGGTCAATAGATTGAGACCATCCTGGTTAACATGGTGAAACCCCATCTCTACTAAAAATACAAAAATTATCTGGGCATGGTGGCACGTGCCTGTAGTCCCAGCTACTCGGGAGGCTGAGGCAGGAGAATTGCTTGAACCCAGGAGGTGGAGGTTGCAGTGTGTTGAGATCATGCCACTGCACTCCAGCCTGGGAACAGAGTGAGACTTGGTCTCAAAAAAACAACAACAAAACTGAAAAAGAGTGCTATGGTGATTTGCTTGGTTGGCTATAATATCATCACTCTCTGAAGCCTGAGTTTACTAATTTTGGGTGCATTTAGAAGTTGCCTTTAGATCTTAGAACACAGTTCACATCTAATTTCAGTATGTAGCAATTAAAATTATGTCATCAAATTAGCTTTGGACCCAGGTGAGTTTTATAATTGTATTACCTTTCAATAAGCATCATTAGCAAGTCCTAGGTTTACCATGAAAGTAGCTCTCAATGGGAAACTGATGCCTTGCAAATTTCAAAAGGCCATGTCAAAGCAGAGCCCACATCAAGGCAGCCTCTCAGGGCACAAAGAGTTCTAGCCAAAACTGCTAGCTAATGCACCAAAGGCTGAATATGCCCTAATAAAGCTTATTTCTGCTTTTAAAATTGTTTAGCCCAATCTTTTTATTATTTCATAACACTGAAGTATTTTCTAAAATTAAAAAAATTCACAAGAGCGCATACAAATATTTTATGTGTAATTTTACATTGCGAATATTTTTCTAAGTAAATCAGTGGCTTGAAGTACCGAATGAGTGTATAAGTAGGCTGCATATAGATGGCCTATTGCCATTTGCAAAATAAAGGACATTTCTATGTAAATGCTTCTGAACCACTCTAATATTGTCAGGGCACCTGCATACACCCACTGTGAGGCTTAGGAGGACATATCAGATAGAGGAAGTGAAGGGTTCATGACTTACATATCCCCCTTGCCCTATAGCTTAGAGGACCTTCCAGGGAGGTCCACAGTTATGACCTCAACAATGGGACTCCATCAAGTGGGTGTAGCTGGAGAAGGAAAAAAAAAAAATAGATGTAGGGGCAATGGATAAACAGGACAAAAAGGCTAAGTGGAAAACTGGAAAATAATTGTTTAAGATAATGGTTATGTTTGCATTCTAGATGGTAGTTGCACTTTCAGAAAGGTGGCCTGGCCAAGCTCCCCAGGGAAGGAATGCTCAAGGCATAACCCTTTAAGGTTCTGCCTACCTTAACTACTTTGTGGCATCATGAGACCAGACACTAGGTGGTGCAATTCATCTCCTCCAGGACCCAAAGAAGCAAGGAGGAAAGGAAAGAAGTAGAAAAGAAATGGAGGAGAGGAAAGGGAAAAACGTTACAGAGAACGGGGTTGAAGGGAAAGAACATTATAAGAAAAATAAGAGATAGGAGGATAAATGTGAGAAAGAAAGAAAAAGTGCATCACAAAAAACCTCAAAAATAGTCACCAGCAAATGATTATGGAAAATGACTTACCCAGCCGCACAAGATACTGTATTGTCAGAAGAATCATGTTTTCCACACTCAGATATTGGCTGCCAGTCAACCCTAATTGTTCTAAATCTTTGTTTTCCAACTGTGGAATCTTGTAGCAATTCACCAGCAGAGGACTCACAACAATGTCACTAACATTTCCATAGAAATAGGGTAAAGTGCCATAGCCTGTCCCAATAAGAAGCAGGTAAATACAGTTCAACATTTCTTTTTATGTTCCAACCAGGTACGCTTGCTCAACTAGGATCAAAGATGCTTAACAAAATTCCCTGCCCTCTCAGATAGCGACCAAACAAATCATTCAAATATATAAATCCTAGTGAATTTGCTTGGATGCTCCAAAGTCTATCCTTATGTTAAATTAAATGAACAGGAAACAAAATACAGTTGGCCTTCTCTATCTGTGGGTTCCATGTTCAATCAACTGTGGACTGAAATAGGGGGAAAAAATTCCACAAAGTTCCAAAAAGTAAAACTTGCATTTGCTGTGGGCTGAGTACTACATTGAATCTACGTGAATGATGTGATGTGTAAGCACTGAATTAATATTATAAGCAATGGAGAGGTGGTTTAAAGTATATGTGAGGATATGCATAGGTTATATGCAAATACTGTGCCATTTTATATGAGGGACTTTAGGATATTTGATTTGATATGGGACAGGGCATGGAATCAATCTCCCAGGGATACTAAAGGACAACTGTACTCATATTATCTCTGTTTCTCATGGAAAGGACATGTTAATATTTTGCTAGAAGATTGATGAGTTTGCAAAACATTTCTGTATCCTTTCTAAAACTGCAATGATAAAATATTTCTGAGGCCAGGAGCGGTGGCTCATGCCTGTAATCCCAGCACTTTGGGAGGCCAAGGCAGGCAGATCATGAGATTAGGTGTTTGAGACCATCCTTACCAACATGGTGAAATTCTGTCTCTACTAAAAATACAAAAATTAGCCAGGCATGGTGGCATGCAAACCTGTAATCCCAGCTATTCAGGAGGCTGAGGCAGGAGAATCGCTTGAACCTGGGAGCGGGAGGTTGCAGTGAGCAGAGATCATGCCATTGCACTCCAGCCTTGGCAACAGAGTGAGACTCCATCAAAAAAAAAAAAAAATTCTCATAAAGTCCCTGATCAAGTTTATTTTCAGATAAGAAATCATAAAACAAACAAATGGCAATGCAGCTGGGCACGGTGGTTCACACCTATAATCCTAGCACTTTGTGAGTCTGAGGCGGCAGATCACCTGAGGTCAGGAGTTCAAGACCAGCCTGGCCAACATGGCAAAACCTCATCGTCTCTACTAAACATACAAAAATTAACCAGGCATGATGGCACACAGCTACATAGGACTGAGGCAGGAGAATTGCTTGAACCCAGGAGGTGGAGGTTGCAGTGAGCCAAGATTGTGTCACTGCACTCCAGCTTGAGCAACAGAGTGAAACTCCATCTCAAAAAAAAAAAAAAAAAAAAAAAGCCAGCCAGGCGAGATGGCTCATGCCTATAATTCCAGCACTTTGGGAGACTGAGGTAGGCGGATTGCTTGAGGTCAGGAGTTTGAGACCAGCCTGGCCAACATGACAAAACCCTGTCTCTACTAAAAATACAACAATAAGTCAAGCATAGTGGTGCATGCTTGTAATCTCAGCTACTCAGGAGGCAGGAGAATCCCTTAAACCCAGGAGATGGAGGCTGCAGTGGACCGAGATTGTGTCACTGGACTACAAGCCTGAGTGACAGAGTGAGAATGTCTCAAAAAATAAACAAATAACAAAAAACAGAAACAAACAACAATACATGTTTCACTTTCTAAGATTTCTTTTTCTTTTTCCTGACATGATCCACCTGGAGATATTCCTGAGATTTTCTTTTAAAAAAATTTCAGCTAAATTAATTGATTAACAGCAAGATTCTACTAGTTTCAGGTACTTGGAGATCCCTGCTTCTTTTGTTATCTTAGCTATTTTTGTGAGGCTGTCTTCCTAAATGTCAGTAAATAATATCAAATTGTTTTACAGTAGGTAGGATAAAATATGTCCAAAATGTACCCTGTTTTTGTGGTTGATAGAGAGGATAGTCCCTCTGTGAGATTTACTAAAAGGCAGACACCGAAGGACCAAAGGGTCCCCATGTTCTATGCATCTTTCCAAAGCTTAGTGGCACTATGGTAATGTTCAAAAAGAGCTTCCTAATCCATTAAGCATTTAATCCCCCCAGTACCTACAGATCTAGGATTAGCAGATAGAGCCACCAGGTAAAGGAAAGGGCTCCAAGCAAAACCATCCAATTAGGCAGGATTAGGCCAACCTAAAAAGCAAATAACACCTCATATAAACATGCCCTAAAGATGTAGGCCAGGCATGGGGGCTCAGGCCTGTAATCCCAGCACTTTGGGAGGCCGAGGTGGGTGGATCACTTGAGGTCGGGAGTTTGAGACCAGCCTGACCAACATGGAGAAACTCTGTCTCTACTAAAAATACAAAATTAGCTGGGCATGGTGGTACATGCTTGTAATCTCAGCTACTTGGGAGGCTGAGACAGGAGAATCGCTTGAACCCAGGAGGTGGAGGTTCTGGTGAGCCAAGATCATGCCATTGTACTCCAGCCTGGGCAGGAAGAGCAAAACTCTGTCTCAAAAAAAAAATAAAAGTGGAGAACTTAAACACCCTATCCATTTTGTCCTACAGGAGAACAGGCAATCTCCTTATGGCTTAGGCTAGTCCTAAACCAAGGAGACTCCTCACATGGGTATGAAAAGCACTAAGTTAGTTCTGGAATGTAGGGACCCCTAAATGTCTATACCTCCACTTGTAGACCACCTGGAAGGACTCAGCCTTCTCGAAGATACTAAGGTTCAGACCTACAACTGTGGGGCTTCTTGGTTCTCTTGAGTAGGGTCTATCAGCTGACTTGGCTTGTTTCATTTCTCTGTAGTTTGGCTCCCTTTGACTGGAATGTCCCCTCCCCCACCTTGTCTACTTTGACCAACCTTCAGGACCCAGCTTAACCAACACCTCTGGGAAGTCTTCTCAGACCCCTCCAGGCAGAGATAAGTTCTCTTTCAGAGCTCTGAGTTCTGGTTGCTCTTGGTTGTGAACTTCTAAGAAGCTCACATGTCACTGTGCTGTAATGGTTATTGCCCATATCTTGTAATACTTATTTACTAACCCTAGTGGCTCGTAGGATGTCAGACTCCCCCACTAAACAGTGCTCCTAGAGGGCAAAAGACTTTGCCTTATCCTCAGCTCCTAATCACATGTTTGATATAGCATGAAAGAGCTGACCAATAAAAGCTGAAAGAATCAATAGATGGATGAATACCTTCATGAATATATGAAAAAACACAAACAATGAAATGGAAAAACATTCCTAGATTCCAGAAGACATAGTCAACTTGTAATTCCATTGGCTTACCTATCAGAATTACTGGTCTAACTCCTGAGTTACTCAGCAGGTTTTCAGGAACAATTACAGTTTCCCCTGCAGGAATGGGCCGGGGCTGTAAAATTCCAGTTAGTGGGGTCTGTGGAACTGGGACAGATAAAGGGGACTCTGGAAAGAAAAAAGTTTGACAAGAAAGATGACATGTGAAAACTAAATGAAATACAATAGAAAGCAATAGAATTTTAATACTTTTAATAGAGAAGTATTAAAAATCTAATGGTTTGTTATATTTTTTATTATGTTTATTACACAAAATAGTAAGTTGAAAAAACAAAGGGAGAAAAAAATTAACTATAATCATATCATGTGACTATAACTACTATTGAGCATTTGGTGGATTTCCTTCCAGTTGCTTTTGTCCATATGTAATCTTCTGGATCCTGTTTGTTATTTTAGCTTTCCCCCAAGATTATTAAAGGCATATGTCCATTCATTACATACATTTTCAAAGGTATAGAGAAATGTGAAGAAGGATAAACTCACCATTAACCAGTACTATCTACAAGCAACCATAGTGACAGATTGGCATAATTATTTGTGTATGTAAGATGTCTATGTTGTCTTTAAAACTATTTAAACAAACTTAAACATTTAAATAACTCATTTATGTCTTAGAATCAGTATATTTACAATTGCCCGTGGTTGGTACAGCAAGGTAGACAAATGTTTGAACATTTAACTGTGAATGTTGAATGGCTACAGTTTAGGTATTCTGAAAGAGAACCAGTTGGTTTTGGTTTTTCAGGTTTCTAGCCACAGACTGAACCATCCAGGTCAGAAATAATAAGCATGGGTCACATAAAGAACCAGATAACAGCAGGGAAAAATCTAACACCACTACCAGCAAAACAAGTCCATATATGCCCTATGATGGTGGGTTGGTAGCATTGTGTCCTGTGTAATGAAAGGCTTTTTAATGCTATGGGTTAAAAACTAAGCCAAAGGTTGCATTCAGGTCAGTTATAATGATCTTGTGCATTGTAGGGAAGGCAAATGTGATCGGTACAAAACATTAGCTACTATCAATGGATGAATTATCACATAATTCATCTTCAAGAATTCAGGGAAAGAATAGAAGTAGAAGATATCTCTGCTTATTAAAAACACACTTAAAATCCATCTTCCGTTAAGATCTTACCCGTTCTTGAAAGAGGGCGAACTGTAGGGACAGGTACAACTAAGCCAGGTTGGGGGAGAGGTGATCCAGGATACCATCCCCGGTGTCGTTTCTTTGGTGGCCCAGAAATAAACATGGTAGCTGAAGACAAACAAAAAGTAAAAATTAAAAAAGAGATACTCTTGTGTGGGAGAAAGGAGAGAATGCCAAAGTAACACAGAACTTTGAATTTGACTATGCTCAGAAAGTCTAAATCACTCTTCTACAGGTGAAGTTTTAAAAAATGCCACATTACGGCCAGGCATGGTGGCTCATGCCTATAATCCAAGCACTTTGGAGGCCAAGGTGGGCAGATCACCTGAGGTCGGGAGTTCAAGACCAGCCTGACCAACATGATGAAACGCTGTTTTTTTTAAAAAAATAAAAAAATAAATAATAAATAATAAATAATTTAAAAAGCCATATTAGTAACCTAACATCACAGTAACAGCCACTTAACTTAATCTCTATGTTGTTTTACGATTCACAAGTTTATGTAGCTTATTTCAATTGATTCTACCCACACCCTTGTGGGGTTGCACACAAGCATTATTGTTATACCCTTCTTGTAAAAGGAGAAAGGAAAGCTCAGATTTGTCTGGGATCACACAACAGAGAATAACTTTGAATCCTGTATTTTAGTCAGCTAAACCCAAGGTTTTTCAAGACACTTCCTTATACACTTGTCTTAACATTGTTTCCCAGTTAGGTCATCCATATAGAATCCCAAGATATTTACTCATTACTGTTCACACCGATTACAAACTTTCAAAACACTGTATGACAAACTGAGAAAACACTCTAGAGGGTGATGCCAGATAATTCATTACAAAATCTGGAGCACTTCTAACCACAGGTAAGTGCACTATTATAAAACTCTACGATAGGTATTGTACCTTGGTCTCCTGATGCATAGCTGGGTCTTGGTGACAAAGAGTAATTCCCTGGATGGGCTGGAGTGGAGCTGGATGCACTGCCCTTCCCTCCATGGCTACTGTTTCCATTAGCAGCATCTGTAGAACACAAGGAGAGGAGTGCTCAGAACAGTGGCTGGGCGGATCACTCTTTCTGGGATGCTGCAACCATCTGATAGACCTCACACTCTAGGACTCCAAGAAACCTCATGGATAGGACTCAGTCTAGTTATATAAAACCAACTGCAACTGTCAGAGGAGGACCTTCATTAAAATTAAATGTCACCTAGAAACAATTTCCTAGGACTCCAAGAGACCTTCTGGAATCATTTTCAATGAAGTCTTTGGAGATGATGGATGGAAGGAAGAGAAAAAAATTCTTATGTATATGTTCTTAACTTTGTGTCATGGAAAGTTTCAAACATACAGAAAAGTAAAGAGAATAGGATAATGAACATCTACATACCTACCACCCAATTTCAACATTTACCAACACATATAGCCCATCTTACTTTAACAATACCCTTACCACCCTTATCTCTGTCCCCTCCACATAAATACATGTATGCTGTGAATTATTTTGAAGCAAACCCGTATCATTTTGTACATAAATACTTGTGTGCTTCTTTATTTCCTGTCTTGCTTTTTTTGTTTTGAGACAGGGTCTCACTGTCACCCAGACTAGAGTGTAGTGACAGGATCAGAGCTCACTGAAGCTTTGAACTCCAAGGCTAGAACGATCTTCTTGTTTCAGCCTCTCAAGTAGGTGGGACTACAGGAGCATGCCACACCTGGCTAATTTTCAAGTTTTTTTTTTTTTTTGAGACAGGTCTTTCTATGTTGTCCAGACTGGTCTTGAACTCCTGGCCTCAAGCGATCCTTCCACCTTGGCTTCCCACAGTGTTGGGATTACAGGTGTGAGCCACCACACTGGTCTTATGTAAGAGTTTCTAAAAGAGTAAGACTCTTTAAAATGAATTCTTTTCTTCTTGGTTTTTTTTTGAGACGGAGTCTCGCTCTGTCACCCAAACTGGAGTGCAGTCGTGCAATCTCAGCTCACTGCAACCTCCATCTCCTGGTTTCAAGCAATTCTTCTGTCTCCAGAGTAGCTGGGACTATGGGCACATGCCACCATGCCCAGCTAATTTTTTGTATTTTAGTAGAGACGGGGTTTCACCGTGTTGCTCAGGCTGGTGGCGAACTCCTAACCTCAGGCAATCACCCTGCTTCAGCCTCCCAAAGTGGTGGGATTACAGGCATGAGCCACCATGCCCAGCCTTACTTCTTCTTAAGACAGGGTCTCACTCCACCACCCAGACACAGCTCACTGCATTCTTAACTTTTGGGCTCAGGCGGTCCTTCCACTTCAGCCTGCCAAGCTGCTTGGACTACAGGCATGTGCCACCATGCCTGGCTAAGTTTTCTAATTTTTTATAGAGACAGGGTTTTGCCATGTTGCCTAGGCTGGTCTTGAACTTCTGGGTTCAAGTGATCCCCCGCCTCGGCCTCCCAAAGTGCTGAAATTACAGGCATGAGCCACCACAGACAGCCAATAATTTCTTAGTATCATAAAATATCCCATTGGTATTCAAAATTTTCCCTAACTATCTTTTGATTACCTTTAAAAGAATTACTTTTGTTTTTACAGTTGGCTTGTTCAAATTGGAATTCAAACAAGATGGACATACTGAATTTAGTGGATATGAACCTGAAACCTCTTTTAATCTATAAGATGCCCTTCCTTTTCTTTCTTTCTTACAATTAATTTGGCAGAATTTTCCATTTTCTAGATTTTGTTGATTATATTCCTGTGGTGTCACTTATTCTCGTCTCCTGTATTTCTAATAAACTAATTGTTAGATACAGAGGTTTGATCAAATTCAGGTTCTTTTTTTAGGCAAGGGTATCTCATAAGTACTGTGGTATATGGTACTTCGCATCAGGAGGAAGATAAGCCAGTTTTCTCTCTTCTTGTGATATTAAGATTGATTAGTAGGTTTAAAAGGTGTCAGCATAACCCTTGGCATTATAAAGTTGTTCAGCCTTTCATCTGATGGTATTAGTAACCATGATGATTACTGATCTATCACATCATTGATTTTTTTTTAATGCTGTAAAACTTGATTCCACTGTGCAAAGTCTATAATCCAACCAGAAGGTAGATCCTGCAAGAAATGTTGGACCAGAGTAAGAACAGAAGTGGGCTGTGTAAATTATGATACCTAACTCTTGAAAAGTTTCCAAGAATGGCCAGGTCCAGTGACACACACCTATAATCCCAGCAATTTGGGAGGCTGAGGCAGTAGGATCACTTGAGCCCCAGAGTTCAGGACCAGCTTGGGCAACATAGGGAGACCCTGTCTCTACAAATAACTAAAAAAGAATAGTTTCCAAAAATGATAGGCTCTCTTTATGCTAATTCTTCTACCTCTCTTAAAATTTCTTCTCCTTTACCACTAAACTTGGCTGGGGGCCATGGGTCACACCTGTAATCCCAGCATTTTGGGTGACCAAGGCTGGCTGATCACTTGACATCAGGAGTTTGAGACCAGCTTAGGCAACATGGTTAAACCCTGTCTGTACAAAAAAAAAAAAAAAAAAAGAAAAATTAGCTGGGCACGGTGGCATGTGCCTATCTATAGTCCTAGCTACTGGGGAGGCTGAGGTGGGAGGATAGCTTGAGCCTGGGAGATTGAGGCTGCAGTGTGCTGAGATCACACCAATGTAACTCCAGGCTGGGTGACAGAGCAAGACCCTGTTTCAGAAAAAGAAACACACGCACACACATATACACATACACACACAACACTAAACTAAACTTTTCTAGGATTCTTTTTTTTTTTTTTTTTTTGAGACAGAGTCTTACTCTGTCACCCAGGCTGGAGTGCAGTGGCATGATCTCAGCTCACTGCAACCTCTGCTTCCTGGGTTCAAGCAATTCTCCTGCCTCAGCCTCTCAAGTAGCTGGGATTACCGGTGCCTGCCATCATGCCCGGCTAATTTAGAGATGGGGTTTCACCATGTTGGCCAGACTGGTCTCGAACTCCTAACCTCATGATCTGCCCACCTCGGCCTCCCAAAGTGCTGAGATTACAGTCATGAGCCACTGCACCCATCCTTATCTTTATTTTTTTTTTGAGACGGAGTCTTGCTCTGTCACCTGGCTGAAATGCAGTGGAAGAAACATGGCTCACTGCAGCCTTGACTTCCTCCCACCTCATGGCTCAAGCCTTCCTCCCACCTCAGCCTCCCGAGCAGCTGGGCCACAGGGGCACACAACCACACCCGGCTAATTTTTTTAATTTTTTTATAGAGACAATGTCTCACTTTGTAACCTGGGCTGGTCTTGAATTCTTGGCCTCAAATGATCATCCTGCCTTGGCCTCCCAATTGATGGGATTACAGGTGTGAGCCACTGTGCCCAGATAATCCTGTCTTTTGTTCACAGCTTGCCTCAGCCTACATCTTTTCTTGGCTTATACTGTTTACACTGATGAATTTAACTATATGTTGGTGACTCAACTCTACACCATCAGTCCTGAATTCTCCCTATGATAAATTAAATGGCTGTTGAACAGCTCTACATAGATGTCTTATGGGAATCTTAAACTGAGCATTTCCAAAACTGAACTCCAATCTCCCACTGGAGAACCTGATCTTCCTTCTGTATCCCTATCTCAGATGATGGCATCACCATTAGCCCAGAAGGATGAATGTCAACTGAGACCCCTTCTTCTCCTTGAGGCTCACATTAATCAGTTAATTCCTGCTGGTTTCACTTCCTGAGTAGTTCTCTAACTTGTCCTCTCCTCTGCAACCTATTACCACTCTAGCCAAGGACCTCATCATTTCTCACTGAGACGAATGAAATGATCTACAACTAGTTTTCCTATTTCATCTTCTTCTTACACATTGAAGCAAAAATGATCTAGCTCAAGTTCAAATCAAACCATGCCATTTCTTTGCTCTGTAAGTTATATAGTAAAATCCACATTTTTTAGCCTGACCACCTATAATTTTCCCTTAACTATCACTTACTCCCCTCCTTGCATACATCATCTTGCTTTTCACCTTTCCCTTTTAACCATCATTTCTGCTGTTCCCTGAATATGAATTGCATTTCCTCTCCTCCTTTGTACAGTGAAGGTTTCCTCATTGTCAAAGACCAAGCTCCTCCAAGAACTCATTCTTAATTACTCCTACAATGTTAGATTAAAACCCTTTGCTCTGTGTTCTTCTGTACATTTTTATATGTGCTATTGCACACTGAAAATATCTTGTCAGAGGTCTATCTCCCTAGATTACAGGGAAGTTAGGGGTCAGGGATTTAACCTTATTTATCATTGTATTCCCAGTTCCTAGTTATAACAGGTGCCCAAGAAATATTTGTTGAATGGAACCAAGTTGTTTTGTCACCTCCAAGTACCAAGTGTCATTCCATAACTCTTTTGGTTGGAATGTAGAAAACACAAAGCTTCATATACTAGTACATTATTACAGACAGCCCCACTTCTCTCTTCAACTGGAAGAGAGAGGCAGCTTCTGTTTTCTTCTATCAATTTGTCAATTAAATGTCACACAATTCTTTTATGGACTATGTATTTATCAAAGAAATATAATTGAGGAAAACATCACCTGCAGCAAAAGTCTTCCCTACAACATGCAAAGATAAAGCCAGTGGTTTCACAACATTCTTATTCCGGGTCAGGTCCTGAGCTCCACTTAAATTGATTGCAGAAATAGCTGGACTAAGAATCGGCGAATCTTTAAAAGGAAAGAGTTTGTTTAAATTAGCAACTATTTATATATGCAGGAAGGACGTTAATTCAACAAGAGTTGAGAGAAAGCAGATTATAGAATTTCAGTCCTTTCCTTGAACTATTCTGACATTTTAAAAAGTTCATTTCTACACTTAGATCTCGCAAAAAAAAAAAAAAAAGTTCATTTCTGGGTATACTGGTTTTATTTTTTACTTATTTAACACTCACTCACTAGAAGTTACTATGTGATGGGTGCTACTTTAAGCACCTTAAATATATTAATTCAGTTAATTCTTAAAACAACTTTGTAAGTATTACTACCTTAAATAGTAGTAGTCATTTAACCTAGTCAGAGTTAACTGTAGAGTTAGTCTCCACAGTTCCCCTCAAAGCCATATATATATATATATATATATATATATATATATATATACAATTTTTATTTTTATTTTTTAATTTTAGATGGACTCACTCTGTTGCCCAGACTAGAATGCATGACACGATCTTGGCTCACTGCAACCTCTGCCTCCCGGGTTCAAGCAATTCTCCTCCCTCAGCCTCTCAACTAGCTGGTACTACAGGCACATGCCCCCATGCCCACCTAATTTTTGTATTTTTTGGTAGAGATGAGGTTTTGCCAAGTTGGTCAGGCTGGTCTCAAACTCCTGACCTCAAGTGATCCACCTGTCTTGGCCTTCCAAAGTGCTGGGATTACAGGTGTGAGCCACTGCACCTGGCCTCAAAGCTAGATTTTAATGAGATCTATTTATCTCTATCTAGATGGGTTATTTTAAAAGTGTCATGCAAACTAACTTACTGATACGTAGGAGAAAGCATTTTTCTCTGAAAGAAAGTTTTTTTTTATTTTTTAATAAACTAGAATGTACCGCAATACCAGGAACATCCAAAGGAAAGCTCTTTGGATTAAGAAAATAATTCAGCCCAGAAAACAACATGCTATTTCAGAGACAGGCTGTGGAAGAGAGAAAGACTCAAGCCAATTAGAGTTTTTCTAAATGAGTAGAGACTCCAAATTCCTGACTGCCCCAGCAGAACAGCTAGATCGGTTAACACAGAAAAGCCTCAAAAGGGACTGTTAAATCTCTCTGAGAGTCTGAAGAGCATGCTCTAAGGAACAGGATAATGGGAGAACATCAATAAGGACATAAAAGACTTGAATGATACTGTAAACCAACGAAGCCTAACTAACATCAGTAGGACATTCACCAACAAAAGCAAAATATATATTGTTTTCAAGGGCACAAGGGAGATTTGCCAGGACAGACCATATGTTATGCCATAAAACAAGCCTCAATAAGCTTAAAAAATTAAAATCATACAAAATACATTCTGTAACCTCAAGAAACTCAAATGAGCAATCAATAAAAGAACAAAATTTAAGAAAGTCACAAATTTATGAAAAATAACACACTCCTAAATAACCAATGGATCAAATACATCACAAGGGAAATTGTATATCATTTTAAAATAAATGAAAATTAGGTTGGGCACAGTGGCTCATACCTGTAATCCCAACATTTTGGAAGGCCAAGGCAGTTGGATCACTTGAGGTCAGGAGTTTGAGACCAGCCTGGCCAACATGGAGAAACACTGTCTCTACTAAAAATACAAAAATATTAGCCAGATGTGGTGGCGGGTGCCTACAATCCCAGCTCAGGAGGCTGAGGCAGGAGAATCGCTTGAACCTGGGAGGTGGAGGTTGAAGTGAACTGAGCACGCCACTGCTCTCCAGCCTAGGTGATAGAACGAGACTCCGTCACAAAATAAATAAATGTATAGGCCGGGTGCAGTGGCTCACACCTGTAATCCCAGCACTTTGGGAGGCCAAGGCGGGTGGATCACGAGGTCAAGAGATCGAGACCATCCTGGTCAGCATGGTGGAACCCCATCTCTACTAAGAATACAAAAGATTAGCTGGGCATGGTGGCGCGTGCCTGTGATCCCAGCTGCTCAGGAGGCTGAGGCAGGAGAATTGCCTGAACCCAGGAGACGATGGTCGCAGTGAGCCGATATCGCGCCATTGCACTCCAGCCTGGGTAACAAGGGCGAAACACCGACTAAAAAAATAAAAAATAAAAATAAATAAATAAATAAATGTATAAAATTAAATCAAACACAACATGCAACAACTTATGGGATGCCACTAATCAGAAGGAAATTTACAGCTGTATATTAAAAAAAAAAAGATCCCAAATCAATCACCTGAAGAATGATTCCAAATCAATAACCTTAAGAAACTAGAAAAAGAAGTGCAAACTACACCCAAAGAAAGAAGAAGAAAGGAAGTAATAAAGACAATAGCATAAACGAATAAAGTAAGGAACAGAGAAACAATAGGGGAAATCAACAAAACCAAGTTTGTTTTTCAAGTGATTCAACAAAATTGACAAATCTTTAGTTAGACTGACCAAGAAAAAAGAAGATATAAATTACTAAAATTAGGAATAAAAGAAAAGGCATCACTGGCAACCTTAAAGAAAAAAATTATAAACAAATGCTATGAACAATTATATGCCATTTTTATAGACTGAACTGTCACCTTGAAATTCATATATTGAAGCCCCAATTCCCAAAACCTTAGAATGTGACTGTATTTAGACAAAGGACCTTCAAAAAGGTAATTATGATGAATATGAGGTCATAGGGTGAGGGCTTAATCTGATATGACTGGTGTCCTTATAAGAAGAAGAGACATCAGGAATATGCCCATATGCAGAGGAAAGGCCACGTGAGGACACAGCAAGAAGATGGTCATCTGCAAATCAAGAAGAGAGGCCTCAGGAGAAACCAATCCTGCCAGCATCTCAATCTTGGACTTCCAGTGTCCAGGACAGTGTGAAAATAAATTGCTGTTGTTTAAATCACCCAGTGTGTAGTATTTTGTTAAGGCAGCCCTCATAAACTAATATAGCCATCAAATTAGATAAATTTAACTAGATAATTAGAGTTGGAATTGACAAATTCTTAGGGCAGAAATGATTAAAATTGGCTCTAGGAGATAGAAAAAATCTGAATAGACCTATAACAAGTAAAGAGGCCTAGTTCACAAGTCTTCCTTAGTGAGTCCTATCAACATTTAAATATTAATATTTATATAGAAAAATACAGCCGCTATGAATGTGACTGTATTTGACCCAATAACTTCTGTCTGCCTCCCCTTTCTCAAATTCTTTCAAAAGGTAGAAGATGAAGGAACATTTCCCAACTCAGCTTCTTAAGGCCAATATTACCCAGACAAAGACATCAAAAGGCTGGGTGCTATGGTTTGCACCTATAATCCTAGCTACTCAGGAGGCTGAAGTGGGAGGACTACTTGAGCTAGGAAGTTTGAGGCTACAGAGTGAGCTATGATTGAACCACTGCACTCCAGCCTGAGGGACAGAACAAGACCCTGTCTCAAAAAGAAAAGGAATAAAGGAAAAGAAGAAAGGAAGAAAAGAAACAAAAGGAAGAGAAGGAAGGAAGGAAGGAAAGGAGGGAGGGAGGGAGGGAGGGAGAAAAGCTAGCTACAGAGAATAGTTTATGAAACACATGAATGTGTACATAAAAATGCAGTGGCACATGCCTGTAAAATCCCAGCACTTTGGAGGCCGAGGCGAGTGGATCACCTGAGGTCAGGAGTTTGTGATCAGCCTGACTAACATGGTGAAACCCCCTCTCCACTAAATACAAAAAAATTAGCTGGCGTGGTAACACACGCCTATAATCCGAGCTACTCGGGAGGCTGAGACAGGAAAATCGCTTGTACCTGGGAGGCAGAGGTTTCATGAGCTGAGATTGCGCCATTGCACTCCCACATGGGCAACAAGAGTGAAACTCTGTCTCGGGGTGTGGGGGTGGGAATGCTCAACAAAATACTAGCAAATACAATGACAGCATATAAAAAGGATTATAGGTTGGAGCCAGTGGCTCATGCCTGTAATCCTGGCACTTTGGGAGGCTGAGGTAGGTGGATCACCTGAGGTCAGGAGTTTGAGACCAGCCTGGCCAACATGGTGAAACCCCATCTCTACTAAAAATACAAAAATTATCTGGGCATGGTGGCAGGCACTTGTAATTTCAGCAACTCAGGAGGCTGAGGCAGAAGAATTGCTGGAATCTGGGAGATGGATGAGCTGAAATCATGCCATTGCACTCCAGCCAGGGTGACAACATGGAGACTCCATCACAAAACAAAACAAAACAAAACAAGATTATATGCTATGACTAATTGAGATTTAAAGCTGTAATGCAAGGTTGGTTTAACATACAAGAGTCTACAAGATGTTATTCTATACACCCTATTAATAGAATAAAGGACAAAAACCACATGATCATCTCAAGGGACACAGGTAAAACATTTAACAAAATCCAACACTCTCTCGTGATTAAAAACACTCAGTAAACTAGAAACAGAAGGGACCTTCCTCTACTTCATAAAAAGCATCTACAAAAAACCCACTGCTTTCAGTTTCAACACAAGAAGACAAAAGAAAAAAAAAAAGACAAAAACCCCAAATAACAACAACAACAACAACAAAAAAAACCAACTGCTACCATCAGACTGAGTGGTAAGATCAAATTATGGTCTGGACCAAGATAAGAATGTCCACTCTTACCACTTCTATTGAACATGTAAAAGAAGTTCTATCTAGTGTAATTAGGAAGGAAAAGAAAATGTATTCAGTTTGGAAGGAAGAAATAAAACCACATCTATTTGCAGATGATAGGATCCAGTACATAGGAAATCCTAAGGAAGCCACTACAAAACTACTAGAGCTAATAAATGTCCAAGGCTCCAGGACAGAAGAGCAGTATTCAAAAATCAATTGTATTCCTATGTAATTGCAATAACCCTGAAATACACTTAAGGAAAACCCCAAAATATACTTAAGGAAAAGCTTTCATTTTATAACAGCATCAGAAATAATAAGTACTTAGAAATAAACAGAGCAAAAGTAGTTCAAAATTTACACTATGAAAACTACAAATCATCGTTGGCTT